ATCAGATTAATAAATATCATGCAAAGCTTCTGGAGTCCATTGGAACAGAGACATTGAACAGGACATGGATTGGAAAAAGCTTAAGGAGCAAGTACTTCTTTCTTCACACCTGCACTGCAACTTAGTTGCTGTAATGCCCTGGTAAATATTTTACCATGAGTGATAATTCCCAAATATTCATCTCAATGAACAGAAAGCACAGGAAAGTAAGTTACAATTTTTGAAATTCTACTGAATCCAATTTTCCCCTTTCCAGGTCTGTCACACAGAAAAGTGCTTGAAGGGAAGAGCTTGCCTCCTAACACAGAAATCAGATTTATCTTTGGAAACTGGAACCAGGGCCCTGGAAATGCTTAAGGAAGCTGCCCCAATGGGGCATAAATAAAATAAAATAAAATAAAATAAAATAAAATAAAATAAAATAAAATAAAATAAAATAAAATTAAATTAAATTAAATTAAATTAAATTAAATTAAAATAAAATATCCCAAAACAAAACAAAAACCCTACAAAAAAAACCCCACAAAAAGCCCTAAAACTAAACAAAAAAAACCCTAACAAACAAAACTAAACAGAGACTTTAAAGCAAAAGAATAGTTTTAACTGCCTAAATTGAGATGCAGCATTGACACAGTAGAAGTTATGCTCCCAAATTTGCATTTAGCTTTCTAAAAAGGTATTGGTTTCCAAGAAGCAGATGCCTCAGGGAAGTGAGCAGTACACCTTCCAAGAGACTGAGACCTCAGGAGCCAGAGAGGGGAGACACTTGGCTGTTAGAGGGATGACCATGCAAGCCTTCAACCAAGGCACTTAAGATACTGAAGTTCTGTTCTTGAAGTATGACTTGGGCTTGCCTTTAAGTTTATAGAAAAATTAGGTAACAGTAAAGGATTGTCCATTAGCAGTCAGGAGGCTGGGGGAACTCTGTTCCAACATGGCTGAGAATACAGACAATGCCACTTTTCAGCAGTGGCTTGAAATTCATGAGGAACCACACAACTAGCACATTTTTTTTGTCATTGGAGATAAAATAAACCCATAAAATCCATGCAGTTGTGAGTGCCCTGCATTCAGCATGGTGTCCCAGAGAGCCACTTAACTTTAGTGTTCCTAAAGGCTCATTTCAGAAGTGTGATCTTCTCTTAGCCCAGATGGTTCCACTCAATCCTGCCTCATAAAAAGCCCAAGCAGCCCCAGTTTGGTCATGCAGTGTCATGTCTCACTGACCTTTCTGGACTGAACAAGCTTGAGCAAGACAAACTGACATTGGAGTTGGAAAGACTTTTCTTCCCACATGAAGCAGAGCAGCATTACTGCTCTTGGACCTTCTACACACTCAGGGGCCTGGGATCTCCAAGGGCACAAAGACGAGCAGAAGACAAAGCCACACCTCTGCCTTTTCTTGCATTTCTGCTCCTGGCAGTCCCGACATGAAAATCCACCTGAAGTGTTTGCACAGCTGCAGCTTGGAGCTGCATGCAAGCTGCACAGTGTTCAAGGAAAGAATCCCTAGCATATTTATTAAACAGAACAGAATAAAAGAATGTTTTTTGATCAACAACCCTGTACTAAAGTGAAGTTTCAGGAAGAACAAAATCCAGCATTAGAAAGGAAGGCCAATCTTGTGGTCATAATACACAAATGAATTCAGGAAACTTCTCTTTAAGTGCCCATTCTGTCAAAATTAGCCTGCTTCCCCCAGACAAATCTCTCTCTCCCTGCCTCTGTTTCCCGTGTGTGAAGGGCTGACAACGTCTCCTTTGTGTGTTTTGGAAATTCAAAACATAACATCTTTTGGAGCAGGAGCCGTCTCCTTGCATGATTATGCAAAGCCCCTGTTTCAGCATGGATTGAGGTCAGAGGACAATGGTTAACTGGAGGCATATTTTCATGACACAGGCGTCAGAGGCACCACTGCCCTACAGGATTCCCACCCAGACCTCTCCTTCCCATTCTCACAAAGCAGCCTTAGTTTTCCCAGCAGAATTTTGGGGTTTTTTTAAAGCAGGGCCATTTTGCAAATGCAGTGACTGAGCAGCTTGGGGTTAAAAATAACCCTTTCTTGTGGCTGAAGCTGCCATTTAAAAATATTCTGTCTTAATGCCTGTCAGCAGGTTCCTCAGCTAATGAAGGGGAAATGAAAACCTTCTTCCTCTAAAAATTCTATTCCTTCTCTTTTGCTAATAATCAGTCAAGATAATTCAGATAAAGTGACAGATTCTAAATATGATGCTATCATTT